ACAGGTACTCTGAGAGAGAACTTTATCAACATCAGAGGCCCGAGACTGTTCAACACGCTTCCACTACACATAAGGGACATAACTGGCCGACCCCTCACAGTGTTCAAGAGAGAACTATCAACATCAGAGGCCCGAGACTGTTCAACACGCTTCCACTACACATAAGGGACATAACTGGCAGACCCCCTCACAGTGTTCAAGAGAGAACTTGATAAACACCTCCAAAGGATACCTGATCAACCAGGCTGTGACTCATACGTCAGGCTGCGAGCAGCCGCGTCAAACAGCCTGGTTGATCAGTCTAGCAACCAGGACGCCTGGTCGGCGACCGGGCCGCGGGGGTATTAATCCCCGGAAAGTACACAAGGTAAGCAGGTGGTATATTTTGGGGTGTTCTTATTCCATTGTGGTGTTATTGAGGGCTGGTGGTGAGTGTTCATCCTGGGTGTATATACGCTCAGAATATCATGGCTGCCTCTGCTTATTTAATGTGAGAGAGCATTGTGTGGGGTGTAGGGTCATCCTGGACCTTTGGTAGCGGCGAGGCTGGGACAAGATGCTAGGCCCTGGTGGCGGCGAGGCTGGGACAAGATGCTAGGCCATGGTGGCGGCGAGGCTGGGACAAGATGCTAGGCCATGGTGGCGGCGAGGCTGGAGGATGTCTGTAATAAGAGGGCGGTGTAGGGGAGGCCGGGCAACAGTGAGCGGGCGACACATCTTCCGCCCTGGGACAATGCTCGGCTCACAGACATCATCCTCCTCTACAATTACGGCGGACGAGATGCCGTCGCCGCCGTCACCAGCTCAGTGTCCACCCGTCGTCGTCATGGAGATCAATGGCGAGCCGCACCCGTCGACCCTGCGGAAGTGTCTCCCGCACCCGTCGACCCTGCGGAAGTGTCTCCCGCACCCGTCGACCCTGCGGAAGTGTCTCCCGCACCCGTCGACCCTGCGGAAGTGTCCCGCAGGCCTGTCGTCCGCAGTTTGCAATGCATGGTCTGGCATAATGTGTCCCCAGTGAGAAGCGAGGCAGCACAGTTAGCCGCAAACACTTCAGCTGCCGCTCCATACTCAGCCCCGACAGTTAACACCAGAGAGTACCAAGTGTACCTTCCGTTTAGTGTCAGGTCCCTTATCGCGCACTAATATACCTGGTGACGTGAGAGAGACGAGAGGTGGTGAGAGGCAGGCCAGTGTCACCACCCACACCCATAACACCCCGCCACAACTGGGGAGTCTGGTAGCTACCTGCTTGATGGAAGTCTGGGAGTTCTTCTGTTCCTCAAGCCGGCACACCCATAACACCCCGCCACAACTGGGGAGTCTGGTAGCTACCTGCTTGATGGAAGTCTGGGAGTTCTTCTGTTCCTCAAGCCCGGCCCGAGGCCAGGCTTGACTTGTGAGAGCTTGGTCCACCAGGCTGTTGCTTGGAGCGGCCCGCAGGCCCACATAGTCACCACAGCCCAGTTGGTCCGGCACTCCTTGGAGAAAATGATCTAGGAACAATATTTATTGTGCTCGCTGGAAGGGTGTTGAACAACCGCGGACCTCTGATGTTTATACAGTGTTCTCTGATTGTGCCTATGGCACCTCTGCTCTTCACTGGTTCTATTCTGCATTTTCTTCCATATCGTTCACTCCAGTATGTTGTTATTTTACTGTGTAGATTTGGGACCTGGCCCTCCAGTATTTTATACGTGTATATTATTTGATATCTGGTCTTCTTTCTAGTGAGTACATTTGGAGAGCTTTGAGACGATCCCAATAATTTAGGTGCTTTATCTCGTCTATGCGTGCCGTATATGTTCTCTGTATTCCCTCTATTTCAGCAATCTCTCCTGCTCTGAAGGGGAGAGTGAGTACTGAGCAGTACTCGAGATGGGACAGCACAAGTGACTTGGAGTACAACCATTGTGATGGTTGAGTGTGCAGCGCGCGGAACTCGTAATCCTGTGGCCCGGGTTCGATTCCTGGACTAGGCAGGGACAAATGGGCAGTTTCTTTCACCCTGAGGCCCCTGTTACCTCGCAGTAAAGTGGGACCTGGGGTTAGACAGATGTTATAGGCGGCTTCCTGGGTGTGTGTGACAAAAATAGTAGTTAGTAAAAGTTGATTGATTGACAGTTGAGAGGCGGACCGAAAGAGCAGAGCTGAACCCCCGCAAGCACAACTAGGTGAATACAACACCCTCCCTCAACACCCTCCCTCAACACCCTCCCTCAACACCCTCCCTCAACACCCTCCCTCAACACCCTCCCTCAACACCCTCCCTCGACACCCTCCCTCGACACCCTCCCTCGACACCCTCCCTCAACACCCTCCCTCAACACCCTCCCACAACACCCTCCCACAACATTCCCCAACAAACATTAAATATCACATAGAGGTTGAAATCTTGGTGAAGAAACTATGGAAATTTCTAGAGTAGCTTCCACATGTGAGTGTTGAGAGGAGAGTGCGGGAAACCCCATACTGGGGTGTAGGTGGTGTGGTGAGGGTGTGAGTGTATCAGTACACACACGGTGTAGGTGGTGTGGTGAGGGTGTGAGTGTATCAGTACACACACGGTGTAGGTGGTGTGGTGAGGGTGTGAGTGTATCAGTACACACACGGTGTAGGTGGTGTGGTGAGGGTGTGAGTGTATCAGTACACACACCACCACCTGGAATAGCGTCTTGTATGGTGGAGGAATGTCGAGTTTATGTAATGTATGGAGACGTTACCCACGGAGCAGGGTTCTCCCACAGTTTATGTAATGTGTGGCGACGTTACCCACGGAGCAGGGTTCTCCCACAGTTTATGTAATGTATGGCGACGTTACCCACGGAGCAGGGTTCTCCCACAGTTTATGTAATGTATGGCGACGTTACCCACGGAGCAGGGTTCTCCCACAGTTTATGTAATGTGTGGCGACGTTACCCACGGAGCAGGGTTCTCCCACAGTTTATGTAATGTATGGCGACGTTACCCACGGAGCAGGGTTCTCCCACAGTTTATGTAATGTGTGGCGACGTTACCCACGGAGCAGGGTTCTCCCACAGTTTATGTAATGTATGGCGACGTTACCCACGGAGCAGGGTTCTCCCACAGTTTATGTAATGTGTGGAGACGTTACCCACGGAGCAGGGTTCTCCCACAGTTTATGTAATGTGTGGAGACGTTACCCACGGAGCAGGGTTCTCCCAGTTTATGTAATGTATGGAGACGTTACCCACGGAGCAGGGTTCTCCCACAGTTTATGTAATGTGTGGCGACGTTACCCACGGAGCAGGGTTCTCCCACAGTTTATGTAATGTATGGCGACGTTACCCACGGAGCAGGGTTCTCCCACAGTTTATGTAATGTATGGAGACGTTACACACGGAGCAGGGTTCTCCCACAGTAACTCTCACCTGTACGGTGTGTGGGGGCGTGTCCGCGTCCAGGCCTAGGACTCTGCTACTCCCACGGCCAGTACACGGACTCCATAAAGACATTTTAATAAGTGTAACCATGGAGGATATCTTATGATTTCGGGGCTTTAGTGTCCCCGCGGCCCGGTCCTCGACCAGGCCTCCACCCCAAGGAAGGAGCCCGTGACAGCTGACTTACACCCAGGTACCTATTTTACTGCTAGGTAACAGGGGCATAGGGTGAAAGAAACTCTGCCCATTGTTTCTCGCCGGCGCCCGGGATCGAACCCGGGACCACAGGATCACAAGTCCAGTGTGCTGTCCGCTCGGCCGACCGGCTCCCGGCAGGAGTGAGAACCTACAAAATGAGGTCAATGCCAGGCTAAGTAGGACGATGGATATTCATTTTTCTGTCAAACAGAACGCAAAGAGTAATAGTTAATCAAATCAAATAGTCCAATCACAGTGAAAAGCTCTGTACCTCAGGGTACAGTCCTTGCACCACTGGTTTTCCTTATTCTTTCATCAGGTATAGACAAAAATATAAGTCACAGTTTCGTATAAACTTCTGCAGATGACACAAAATCAACTTGAATATTATCTCTGTTGAAATTGAAAAACTGCAAGGTGACATTAAGAAATTTGTCGACGGCAGAAGAAAATAACATGATGTTTAACAGTGATAAATTCCAGGTAACCAGGTACGCTAAAAATGAGGACCTTCAAGTCACTTGTGTTGTCCCGTCTTGAGTACTGCTCAGTACTCACTTCCCCCTTCAGAGCAGGAGAGATTGCTGAAATAGAGGGAATACAGAGAACATGCACGGCACGCATAGACGCGATAAAGCACCTAAATTATTGGGATCGTCTCAAAGCTCTCCAAATGTACTCACTAGAAAGACGACGAGAGAGATACCAAATAATATACACATGGAAGATACTGGAGGGACAGGTCCCAAATCTACACGGTAAAATAACAACATACTGGAGTGAACGATATGGAAGAAAATGCAGAATAGAACCAGTGAAGAGCAGAGGTGCCATAGGCACAATCAGAGAACACTGTATAAACATCAGAGGTGCCATAGGCACAATCAGAGAACACTGTATAAACATCAGAGGTCTACGGTTGTTCAACGTCCTCCCAGTAAGTATAAGAAATATTGCAGGAACAACCGTGGACATCTTCAAGAGGAAACTAGATCATTTCCTCCAAGGAGTGCCGGACCAACCTGGCTGTGGTGGGTATGTGGGCCTGCGGGCCGCTCCTAGCAACAGCCTGGTGGACCAAACTCTCACAAGTCAAGCCTGGCCTCGGGCCGGGCTTGGGGAGTAGAACAACTCCCAGAACCCCATCAACCAGGTAAACAATGACTGTGAGATGATGATCTCTGCCGGTGTGTCCACCCACACCTTCCTCCTGGGCTTCTCCCACGCTACTCCCCGGGCCACCAGCTCCTGCTCCCCAGCTGCACATGAGGGCTTGGACTTGCATTTGACGTGGAAGGGTTAATCCCTGTAATCTGGTGGCTCAGTGACCGTCGACCTGGACCCCTGGTTAGTTTCTACGGAAGTGTAAATTTTCCATTTCTTGTGTCGCCTGTTATGATGATGATTTTAATATGTAATGGTCTCTTTTATAACTGCCTCTACTCCGACGGACAGTACCTACTGCCTCTACTCCGACGGACAGTACCTACTGCCTCTACTCCGACGGACAGTACCTACTGCCTCTACTCCGACGGACAGTACCTACTGCCTCTACTCCGACGGACAGTACCTACTGCCTCTACTCCGACGGACAGTACCTACTGCCTCTACTCCGACGGACAGTACCTACTGCCTCTACTCCGACGGACAGTACCTACTGCCTCTACTCCGACGGACAGTACCTACTGCCTCTACTCCGACGGACAGTACCTACTGCCTCTACTCCGACGGACAGTACCTACTGCCTCTACTCCGACGGACAGTACCTACTGCCTCTACTCCGACGGACAGTACCTACTGCCTCTACTCCGACGGACAGTACCTACTGCCTCTACTCCGACGGACAGTACCTACTGCCTCTACTCCGACGGACAGTACCTACTGCCTCTACTCCGACGGACAGTACCTACTGCCTCTACTCCGACGGACAGTACCTACTGCCTCTACTCCGACGGACAGTACCTACTGCCTCTACTCCGACGGACAGTACCTACTGCCTCTACTCCGACGGACAGTACCTACTGCCTCTACTCCGACGGACAGTACCTACTGCCTCTACTCCGACGGACAGTAGCTACTGCCTCTACTCCGACGGACAGTAGCTACTGCCTCTACTCCGACGGACAGTAGCTACTGCCTCTACTCCGACGGACAGTAGCTACTGCCTCTACTCCGACGGACAGTAGCTACTGCCTCTACTCCGACGGACAGTAGCTACTGCCTCTACTCCGACGGACAGTAGCTACTGCCTCTACTCCGACGGACAGTAGCTACTGCCTCTACTCCGACGGACAGTAGCTACTGCCTCTACTCCGACGGACAGTAGCTACTGCCTCTACTCCGACGGACAGTAGCTACTGCCTCTACTCCGACGGACAGTAGCTACTGCCTCTACTCCGACGGACAGTAGCTACTGCCTCTACTCCGACGGACAGTAGCTACTGCCTCTACTCCGACGGACAGTAGATACTGCCTCTACTCCGACGGACAGTAGCTACCGCCTCTACTCCGACGGACAGTAGCTACTGCCTCTACTCCGACGGACAGTAGATACCGCCTCTACTCCGACGGACAGTAGCTACCGCCTCTACTCCGACGGACAGTAGATACCGCCTCTACTCCGACGGACAGTAGATACCGCCTCTACTCCGACGGACAGTAGCTACCGCCTCTACTCCGACGGACAGTAGCTACCGCCTCTACTCCGACGGACAGTAGCTACCGCCTCTACTCCGACGGACAGTAGCTACCGCCTCTACTCCGACGGACAGTAGCTACCGCCTCTACTCCGACGGACAGTAGCTACCGCCTCTACTCCGACGGACAGTAGCTACCGCCTCTACTCCGACGGACAGTACCTACCGCCTCTACTCCGACGGACAGTACCTACCGCCTCTACTCCGACGGACAGTACCTACCGCCTCTACTCCGACGGACAGTACCTACCGCCTCTACTCCGACGGACAGTACCTACCGCCTCTACTCCGACGGACAGTACCTACCGCCTCTACTCCGACGGACAGTACCTACCGCCTCTACTCCGACGGACAGTACCTACCGCCTCTACTCCGACGGACAGTACCTACTGCCTCTACTCCGACGGACAGTACCTACTGCCTCTACTCCGACGGACAATTTTTTTTCGGAACAATTTTTTTTTGAGTAAAGAGGAAGGAGAGTCATAGGTGAAGGGAAGTATAGAAGTGAGAGGTATGAAAGCAGGCGGGCTGTCCGCCTTGCTGACACCATGTGTGGGTGTTGGCAGCTAAGCTAAGCTGGCTCCCTCTTGTCAGGGAGCTGTGAGTGTGTGAGAGGTTCTTCACATGTGTTTCACCATATATGGATTTCTATAGATGAATACTGTGTAGCATTCATATATACACACTCCGATGCTTCCACACATGTTGTTCTGTTTAAGGCTCTTTATTATTATTGTTTATTGAGTTATATATACATATATTTATATACATATATATATATGCGAACAAGCCTGAATGGTCCCCAGGACAATATGCAACTGAAAACTCTCACCCCAGAAGTGACTCGAACCCATACTCCCAGGAGCAACGCAACTGGTATGTACAAGACGCCTTAATCCACTTGACCATCACGACCGGACATAATGAGGTGATAGCCGAGGCTATTTGAACCACCTCATCACCTCATTATGTCCGGTCGTGATGGTCAGGTGGATTAAGGCGTCTTGTACATACCAGTTGCGTTGCTCCTGGGAGTATGGGTTCGAGTCACTTCTGGGGTGTGAGTTTTCAGTGATATATATATATATATATATATATATATATATATATATATATATATATATATATATATATACATATATATATACATACATATATACACACAATGTTTTATACTAGTACTTCTGCTGCCACACACACTATCTCTTCCTCTCTCCCCCAACCCCGCACGTCCCTCCCCCCAACCCCTAACACCCGCATCTCCTACCCCCAAGCCCCCCTCCCCTACCCTCCCCCCCCCTCTCTCCCGCCGATCATTCAAGAATAAAGGGCTGAAATATGTATAATCTGCCCCGGGGTAAATTATCGATGAATGACATGGTGGAGGGAAGGTCTGTTGGGAGACCTGAGACCAGTCCCAGGTTGTTTCTGGCTCGTGGGGGGGGGGGCACTGGCTTCCTTGTTATGGTGTTCACCTAGTTGTGTTCACCTAGTTGTGTTCACCTAGTTGTGCTTGTGGGGGTTGAGCTCTGCTCTTTCGGCCCGCCTCTCAACTATCAATCAACTGTTACTAACTACTATGTTGTTTTTCCACACACACACACACACACATACATATCCCTGGGAATACACACACCCTGTGAGCCGGTGGCCGAGCGGACAGTACGCTGGACACGTGATCCTGTCGTCCCGGGTTCGATCCCGGGCGCCTGCGAGAATCAAAGGGTAAAAGAAACTCTGCCCAATGTCCCTGTTACCTAGCAGTAAATAGGTACCTGGGAGTTAGTCGGCTGTCACGGGCTGCTTCCTGGGGTGTGTGTGTTGTGTGGGAGAAAAAAAATAGTAGTTAGTATCAGTTGATTGACAGTTGAGAGGCGGGCGGAAAGAGCAGAGCTCAACCCTCGCAAGCACAACTAGGTGAGTACAGGTTTATATTATCAACATATGGTTATCAACAACATATATTGAAATTTATATTATCTCAACTCACCCGTAGCAGCTGACTAACTCCCAGGTACCCATTTACTGCTAGGTAACAGGGGCATCAGGGTGAAGGAAACAGTGTGATGAACAGGTCCCAGTGTTCCTCCCAGACGTATGATGAACATGTCCCAGTGTTCCTCCCAGACGTATGATGAACATGTCCCAGTGTTCCTCCCAGACGTATGATGAACATGTCCCAGTGTTCCTCCCAGACGTATGATGAACATGTCCCAGTGTTCCTCCCAGACGTATGATGAACAGGTCCCAGTGTTCCTCCCAGACGTATGATGAACAGGTCCCAGTGTTCCTCCCAGACGTATGATGAACATGTCCCAGTGTTCCTCCCAGACGTATGATGAACATGTCCCAGTGTTCCTCCCAGACGTATGATGAACATGTCCCAGTGTTCCTCCCAGACGTATGATGAACATGTCCCAGTGTTCCTCCCAGACGTATGATGAACAGGTCCCAGTGTTCCTCCCAGACGTATGATGAACAGGTCCCAGTGTTCCTCCCAGACGTATGATGAACATGTCCCAGTGTTCCTCCCAGACGTATGATGAACATGTCCCAGTGTTCCTCCCAGACGTATGATGAACATGTCCCAGTGTTCCTCCCAGACGTATGATGAACAGGTCCCAGTGTTCCTCCCAGACGTATGATGAACATGTCCCAGTGTTCCTCCCAGACGTATGATGAACATGTCCCAGTGTTCCTCCCAGACGTATGATGAACAGGTCCCGGTAATGGACATTGTGGGTGATAGACAAGCGGTATGATACCAAACATGGTTCACTCCAACACCATTATGACTGAGTATATAGATTCCGGCAGCAGTACTCACACTACATATAGACTTTCAACTATACAAGGTAGTCAGGTATCCCTTGTTAATGGGGGCCACCATACAGGTTGCCTCAAGAGACCCCCTTGGACCTGAGGGCATCCGTCAGTCTCTTTGGGGAGGATTTTTAGTGGCGCAAACCCAGGGTGGCCTCTTCAGGGCGCAAAGCCAGGGTAGGTTGATACGGGGGAGAAGCTGTTACCCAAGCAGCAGGTTCCCCCCTCTCCACGGCGCCGAAAGTCTCCAATGGAAAGACGAACGCCGATACAATTGATTCCAGCGCCGTCGCAGGAAGTGTCCGAACGATGTTGAAGGCAAGAACGATCTGCCCCCAGGGGGCTCCAGCTCCGGAGTTGACCTCGAAGTTGGTAAAAGAAAGCACAGGGGCTCCCAACCCGGAGACCGCCACCAGAGGGTTTAAGGTTCTAAGAATCAAGAAGGATACAATTAGTATTGAGGAAGATGGTTTTTGATACAATTGGTGTAGACGGTTCCGTGTCTCGTGTAACTCTTTGGGGTCCAGGTGAACGGTGAGGGACGCCGTGCAGGCCGTCGCCCACCAAAGTGTCCACGATATTTACCGCTAAATATTATATTTTCGGGGTCTCCACGCCAGGGCCCCGCCCCCTGGCGTGGAGACCCCGGGGGCCTGGCGTGGAGACCCCGGGGGCCTGGCGTGGAGACCCCGGGGGCCTGGCGTGGAGACCCCGGGGGCCTGGCGTGGAGACCCTGGGGGCCTGGCGTGGAGACCCTGGGGGCCTGGCGTGGAGACCCTGGGGGCCTGGCGTGGAGACCCTGGGGGCCTGGCGTGGAGACCCCGGGGGCCTGGCGTGGAGACCCTGGGGGCCTGGCGTGGAGACCCTGGGGGCCTGGCGTGGAGACCCTGGGGGCCTGGCGTGGAGACCCTGGGGGCCTGGCGTGGAGACCCTGGGGGCCTGGCGTGGAGACCCTGGGGGCCTGGCGTGGAGACCCTGGGGGCCTGGCGTGGAGACCCTGGGGGCCTGGCGTGGAGACCCTGGGGGCCTGGCGTGGAGACCCTGGGGGCCTGGCGTGGAGACCCTGGGGGCCTGGCGTGGAGACCCCGGGGGCCTGGCGTGGAGACCCCGGGGGCCTGGCGTGGAGACCCCGGGGGCCTGGCGTGGAGACCCCGGGGGCCTGGCGTGGAGACCCCGGGGGCCTGGCGTGGAGACCCCGGGGGCCTGGCGTGGAGACCCCGGGGGCCCTGGCGTGGACCCTAACACAGGGGCACACACTGGACACCCACCGCCCATCGTTTAGGGACAGACGGTTGACGGGGTTACCCTAGAATTAGGTTTTAATGACTAGGCCGTTTGGGCGGCAGGTATTAAAGTGGGCTTGTTGGACACGCAAGTTGTGTATCCCAACTGTTGTTCCTGCCCTCCCTCATGCCCCGAGCCTTGTTCCTGCCCTCCCTCATGCCCCGAGCCTTGTTCCTGCCCCCCCCTCATGCCCCGAACCTTGTTCCTGCCCTCCCTCATGCCCCGAGCCTTGTTCCTGCCCTCCCTCATGCCCCGAGCCTTGTTCCTGCCCTCCCTCATGCCCCGAGCCTTGTTCCTGCCCTCCCTCATGCCCCGAGCCTTGTTCCTGCCCCTCCCTCATGCCCCGAGCCTTGTTCCTGCCCTCCCTCATGCCCCGAGCCTTGTTCCTGCCCCTCCCTCATGCCCCGAGCCTTGTTCCTGCCCTCCCTCATGCCCCGAGCCTTGTTCCTGCCCTCCCTCATGCCCCGAGCCTTGTTCCTGCCCTCCCTCATGCCCTGAGCCTTGTTCCTGCCCCCCTTCATGCCCCGAGCCTTGTTCCTGCCCTCCCTCATGCCCCGAGCCTTGTTCCTGCCCTCCCTCATGCCCCGAGCCTTGTTCCTGCCCTCCCTCATGCCCCGAGCCTTGTTCCTGCCCTCCCTCATGCCCCGAGCCTTGTTCCTGCCCTCCCTCATGCCCCGAGCCTTGTTCCTGCCCTCCCTCATGCCCTGAGCCTTGTTCCTGCCCCCCCTCATGCCCCGAGCCTTGTTCCTGCCCTCCCTCATGCCCTGAGCCTTGTTCCTGCCCCCCCCCTCATGCCCTGAGCCTTGTTCCTGCCCTCCCTCATGCCCCGAGCCTTGTTCCTGCCCTCCCTCATGCCCTGAGCCTTGTTCCTGCCCCCCCTCATGCCCCGAGCCTTGTTCCTGCCCCTCCCTCATGCCCCGAGCCTTGTTCCTGCCCTCCCTCTTGCCCCGAGCCTTGTTCCTGCCCCCCCTCATGCCCTGAGCCTTGTTCCTGCCCCTCCCTCATGCCCCGAGCCTTGTTCCTGCCCCTCCCTCATGCCCCGAGCCTTGTTCCTGCCCCTCCCTCATGCCCCGAGCCTTGTTCCTGCCCCTCCCTCATGCCCTGAGCCTTGTTCCTGCCCCTCCCTCATGCCCCGAGCCTTGTTCCTGCCCCTCCCTCATGCCCTGAGCCTTGTTCCTGCCCTCCCTCATGCCCCGAGCCTTGTTCCTGCCCTCCCTCATGCCCCGAGCCTTGTTCCTGCCCTCCCTCATGCCCCGAGCCTTGTTCCTGCCCTCCCTCATGCCCCGAGCCTTGTTCCTGCCCCTCCCTCATGCCCCGAGCCTTGTTCCTGCCCTCCCTCATGCCCCGAGCCTTGGTCCTGCCCCTCCCTCATGCCCCGAGCCTTGTTCCTGCCCTCCCTCATGCCCCGAGCCTTGTTCCTGCCCCTCCCTCATGCCCCGAGCCTTGTTCCTGCCCTCCCTCATGCCCTGAGCCTTGTTCCTGCCCCCCTTCATGCCCCGAGCCTTGTTCCTGCCCTCCCTCATGCCCCGAGCCTTGTTCCTGCCCTCCCTCATGCCCCGAGCCTTGTTCCTGCCCTCCCTCATGCCCCGAGCCTTGTTCCTGCCCTCCCTCATGCCCCGAGCCTTGTTCCTGCCCTCCCTCATGCCCCGAGCCTTGTTCCTGCCCTCCCTCATGCCCAGAGCCTTGTTCCTGCCCTCCCTCATGCCCCGAGCCTTGTTCCTGCCCTCCCTCATGCCCTGAGCCTTGTTCCTGCCCCCCCCCCTCATGCCCTGAGCCTTGTTCCTGCCCTCCCTCATGCCCCGAGCCTTGTTCCTGCCCTCCCTCATGCCCTGAGCCTTGTTCCTGCCCCCCCTCATGCCCCGAGCCTTGTTCCTGCCCCTCCCTCATGCCCCGAGCCTTGTTCCTGCCCTCCCTCATGCCCCGAGCCTTGTTCCTGCCCCCCCCTCATGCCCTGAGCCTTGTTCCTGCCCCTCCCTCATGCCCCGAGCCTTGTTCCTGCCCCTCCCTCATGCCCCGAGCCTTGTTCCTGCCCCTCCCTCATGCCCCGAGCCTTGTTCCTGCCCCTCCCTCATGCCCTGAGCCTTGTTCCTGCCCCTCCCTCATGCCCCGAGCCTTGTTCCTGCCCCTCCCTCATGCCCTGAGCCTTGTTCCTGCCCTCCCTCATGCCCCGAGCCTTGTTCCTGCCCTCCCTCATGCCCCGAGCCTTGTTCCTGCCCTCCCTCATGCCCCGAGCCTTGTTCCTGCCCTCCCTCATGCCCCGAGCCTTGTTCCTGCCCTCCCTCATGCCCCGAGCCTTGTTCCTGCCCTCCCTCATGCCCCGAGCCTTGTTCCTGCCCTCCCCCTCATGCCCCGAGCCTTGTTCCTGCCCTCCCTCATGCCCCGAGCCTTGTTCCTGCCCTCCCTCATGCCCCGAGCCTTGTTCCTGCCCTCCCTCATGCCCCGAGCCTTGTTCCTGCCCTCCCTCATGCCCCGAGCCTTGTTCCTGCCCTCCCCCTCATGCCCCGAGCCTTGTTCCTGCCCTCCCTTATGCCCCGAGCCTTGTTCCTGCCCTCCCTCATGCCCCGAGCCTTGTTCCTGCCCTCCCTCATGCCCCGAGCCTTGTTCCTGCCCCTCCCTCATGCCCCGAGCCTTGTTCCTGCCCCCCCTCATGCCCCGAGCCTTGTTCCTGCCCCCCCTCATGCCCTGAGCCTTGTTCCTGCCCCTCCCTCATGCCCCGAGCCTTGTTCCTGCCCCCCCTCATGCCCCGAGCCTTGTTCCTGCCCCCCCTCATGCCCTGAGCCTTGTTCCTGCCCCTCCCTCATGCCCCGAGCCTTGTTCCTACCCTCCCTCATGCCCCGAGCCTTGTTCCTGCCCTCCCTCATGCCCCGAGCCTTGTTCCTGCCCCCCCTCATGCCCCGAGCCTTCCTAAACAGGACGTGCCTAACTGTGGTAGTGTGGGTGTAGTCAGTGGGGGACCACTGTGGTAGTGTGGGTGTAGTCAGTGGGGGACCACTGTGGTAGTGTGGGTGTAGTCAGTGGGGGACCACTGTGGTAGTGTGGGTGTAGTCAGTGGGGACCACTGTGGTAGTGTGGGTGTAGTCAGTGGGGACCACTGTGGTAGTGTGGGTGTCGTCAGGAGGGACCACTGTGGTAGTGTGGGTGTAGTCAGTGGGGGACCACTGTGGTAGTGTGGGTGTAGTCAGTGGGGACCACTGTGGTAGTGTGGGTGTCGTCAGGAGGGACCACTGTGGTAGTGTGGGTGTAGTCAGTGGGGGACCACTGTGGTAGTGTGGGTGTAGTCAGTGGGGACCACTGTGGTAGTGTGGGTGTAGTCAGTGGGGGACCACTGTGGTAGTGTGGGTGTAGTCAGTGGGGGACCACTGTGGTAGTGTGGGTGTAGTCAGTGGGGGACCACTGTGGTAGTGTGGGTGTAGTCAGGGGGGACCACTGTGGTAGTGTGGGTGTAGTCAGTGGGGGACCACTGTGGTAGTGTGGGTGTCGTGAGAAGAGACCACTGCCGGAGGAGCCCCGTCCACTGACCTCCAGACTAAATTCTTTCATTCATTCATGACGGGAGAGGTTGGGCTGTGCCTCCGGCAAGCTGCTCACGGAGCCACCACCTGAGCTTATAGCTAACGTGTTCCCCCGTATGGAACTTCTGTTCATTGTTCTATTGAACAGTTCATTTTCACTGCTTTTGACTAGCTTCCTGGGTGTTCTGACTACCAGGCTCGAGTTTAATAACTTCTTTGGTGAGAAGTGGGTTGGTGGTACTGAATGCCTGCCACAACAGTTGTGACACTCTAGTGTGGTGTGAAAAAAGCTTAAGTGGCTCTATTCTGTAATTTCTTCCATATCGTTCACTCCAGTATGTTGTTATTTTACTGTGTAGATTTGGGACCTGGCCCTCCAGTATCTTCCATGTGTATATTATTTTGGTAACTCTCTCGTCTTCTTTCTAGTGAGTACATTTGGAGAGCTTTGAGACGATCCCAATAATTTAGGTGCGTTATCGCGTCTATGCGTGCCGTATATGTTCTCTGTATTCCCTCTATTTCAGCAATCTCTCCTGCTCTGAAGGGGGAAGTGAGTACTGAGCAGTACTCGAGACGGGACAACACAAGTGACTTGAAGAGTACAACCATTGTGATGGGATCCTTGGATTTGAAAGTTCTAATAATCCATCCGATCATTTTTCTGGCTGACGCAATATTTGCTTACCTAAATTATAAATACCTAAATTATTGGGATCGTCTCAAAGCTCTCCAAATCTTCTCACTAGAAAGGAGACGAGAGAGATACCAAATAATATACACGTGGAAGATACTGGAGGGCCAGGTCCCAAATCTACACAGTAAAATAACAACATACTGGAGTGAACGATATGGAAGAAAATGCAGAATAGAACCAGTGAAGAGCAGAGGTGCCATAGGCACAATCAGAGAACACTGTATAAACATCAGAGGTCCGCGGTTGTTCAACATCCTCCCAGCGATTATAAAAAATATTGCCGGAACAACCGTGGACATCTTCAAGAGAAAACTAGATAGTTTTCTTCAAGAAGTGCCGGACCAACCGGGCTGTGGTGGGTACGTGGGCCTGCAGGCCGCTCCAAGCAACAGCCTGGTGGACCAAAGTCTAACGAGACAAGCCTGGCCTCGGGCGGGCTTGGGGGGGCTTGGGGAGTAGAAGAACTCCCAGAACCCCATCAAGCAGGTGGTGGCGACTGGCTGGTCTACACCGGGTGACCCACATGGCTAGTATGAGGAAGTTTGCCAGGTGTGGGACTTGATGCTTCAGTGATCATACTCCAGAGAACTTTGTATGCCTCATGTGACAACCTGCTCCCTCCCCTACCCATGGTAACCCCCCCCCCCTCACCCAGTGTAACCCCCTCACCTGGTCATGTCTACACCTGTGGCTGGTGTACACTCGGCCCCCAGTCATGTCTACACCTGTGGCTGGTGTACACTCGGCCCCCAGTCATGTCTACACCTGTGGCTGGTGTACACTCGGCCCCAGGTCATGTCTACACCTGTGGCTGTGTACACTCGGCCCCCAGGTCATGTCTACACCTGTGGCTGTGTACACTCGGCCCCCAGGTCATGTCTACACCTGTGGCTGGTGTACACTCGGCCCCTGGTCATGTCTACACCTGTGGCTGGTGTACACTCGGCCCCTGGTCATGTCTACACCTGTGGCTGTGTACACTCGGCCCCCTGGTCATGTCTACACCTGTGGCTGGTGTACACTCGGCCCCAGGTCATGTCTACATCTGTGGCTGGGTGTACACTCGGCCCCTGGTCATGTCTACATCTGTGGCTGGGTGTACACTCGGCCCCCTGGTCATGTCTACACCTGTGGCTGGTGTACACTCGGCCCCCTGGTCATGTCTACATCTGTGGCTGGGTGTACACTCGGCCCCCTGGTCATGTCTACATCTGTGGCTGTGTACACTCGGCCCCCTGGTCATGTCTACACCTGTGGCTGGTGTACACTCGGCCCCAGGTCATGTCTACACCTGTGGCTGGTGTACACTCGGCCCCAGGTCACGTCTAGAGAGCCTCCGGAAGGCTGCCAGGGGTTGGCTTCTGCCGTGTGACCGGACCATCTTAAAGCTGAAGGAACATTAGGCCTACTTTTTTTTACGCGGAATCGATACCTGGCGTCTTGGAGCAAGTTACTTCCTAGCTGCTGGGACCCCCCTGGCTGCTGGGACCTCCTGGCTGCTGGGACCCCCCTGGCTGCTGGGACCCCCTGTCTGCTGTCTTGTTGGGACCTCCTGGCTTGCTGGGACCTCCTGGCTTGCTGGGACCTCCTGGCTGCTGGGGCCCCCTGTCTGCTGGCTTGCTGGGACCTCCTGGCTTGCTGGGACCTCCTGGGTGCTGGGGCCCCCTGTCTGCTGGCTTGCTGGGACCTGGCTTGCTGGGACCTCCTGGCTGCTGGGGCCCCCTGTCTGCTGGCTTGCTGGGACCTCCTGGCTTGCTGGGACCTCCTGGCTGCTGGGACTCCCCTGGCTGCTGGGACCTCCTGGCTTGCTGGGACCTCCTAGCTGCTGGCTTTCTGGGACCCCGTGACTGCTGGCTGCTGGGACCTCCTGGCTTGCTGGGACCTCCTGGCTTGCTGGGACCTCCTGGCTTGCTGGGACCTCCCGGCTTGCTGGGACCTCCTGGCTTGCTGGGACCTCCTGGCTTGCTGGGACCTCCTGGCTTGCTGGGACCTCCTGGCTTGCTGGGACCTCCCGGCTTGCTGGGACCTCCCGGCTTGCTGGGAACTCCTGGCTTGCTGGGAACTCCTGGCTTGCTGGGAACTCCTGGCTTGCTGGGACCTCCTGGCTTGCTGGGACCTCCTGGCTTGCTGGGACCTCCTGGCTTGCTGGGACCTCCCGGCTTGCTGGGACCTCCTGGCTTGCTGGGACCTCCTGGCTTGCTGGGACCTCCTGGCTTGCTGGGAAGAAACATGATGTAGGATTCGATGCAACACTGATTACGACCAGCTGTTGCCAGGTCGTCCTCTGTTGCCAGGTCGTCCTCTTTTCGTCTCCTACTCAGCTGTCAAGCGGCGCCTTACAGCTGAGTGGACAGCGCTTCGGATTCGTAGTCCTGAGATTCCGGGTTCGAGCCCCGGTGGAGGCGGAGACAAAATGTGCAAAATGTTTCTTTCACCCTGATGTGCAGTGACTCATTTCTCACGCTTATATCATATTTATATATACGCTTTTGAATCGAGTTACCTTCACATACTTGTACGTCTAAGATGGTCTCCTTCTTGACGTACGAGTCATTGACAGCTCTGACACCTGACAAAGTTCTTACTGACGTCTCTGTGACTCATCTGTGTCTCTTAGTGTCCAGCGGTGGCCTCTCCTGCTGCTGCTGCTCCTGGCTTTGGTCGCCTCTGTTGTGTCGACTGTGTCATATTTCCCCTGAATCTTGTATGTTGTGTGTGTGTGTGTGTGTGTGTGTGTGTGTGTGTGTGTGTGTGTGTGTGTGTCTTTTGTGGCAGTCTAGGATGAGGAAGAGGGATTCCCCGAGCCAGTAAGGCTAGCCTCCCTCTCTCTCTCCCCTCTCCACCTTCCCCTCTCCCCTCCCCCCTCCCCCCCCCTCCCCCTCCCCCTCCCAGTGCTACGCGGGAACACGTTGTGAGCGCGTAAGACAGCTGCCGGGTGGAAAGCGTTGGCTCCCGAGAATTCTATAACCCGGCAAGAAAGAGAAGGATGGGTAGACTGCATTTTCTTGCTGTCAGAAAGCCTTTGACACAGTACCCCCATAACAGGTTGTTAACAAAAGTTGGAGCAACAGGCCAGAGTCAAAGGTAAGGTGCTCCAGTGGATAAGGGAGTATCTAAGCAACAGGAAACAGCGAGTAACGGTGAGGGGGGAGACATCAGAGTGGCGAGATGTCACCAGCAGAAGAGTATACATGGCCTAAGTTACTCTATCCCTTTTGAGATGTATTTTATATTTTATTGTCTCCAATAAACAACTTGAATGTCACCAGGGGAGTCCCACAGGGCTCTGTTCAGAGAAGCAACAAGCGAGATGGGTTATTCAATGAATGAAATTTCAACAATAAGAGGATCGACTGGGAAAAAATAAATGTAGACCTTGCAACCATTCAATGGGAGACGATCTTAAGCGACAAAACTGCCACACAGGGAATAGCTCAACTGACAGCTGAAGCTTACAAAGTCTGCTTGAAGCACGTGCCTGTGAGGAGGGGCAGAAAGAGGACCACTCTAGAACGAGAACGCAGACGACTGTACACAAGGAAAAAAAATTATGGAAATACTTAGACACGAATATTACAAGTAAGGAAAATTAATTTAAACAGGGAGATCTAAGAAATAGAGCCAGCGCTGAAGCGATCATACGAGTCTGAGGAAATGGAATTGGAGCAGAAAGCTATACAAGAGATAAAGAAAATTTCAAAATATTTTTTTCACATATGCAAAATCTGTAGATATAGCTCCTCTGCACAAGGGAGGTAGTAAAGCTTTGGCAAAAACTATAGACCAGTTGCACTATCCAGTTTTATGGAAAATAATGACAAATAATTATAATCCAGGATAACATAGATTTAGAGCGGGAAGAGCCTGTCTGTCACAGTTACTCAACCACTATGACAGAATCACAGAAGCTTTAGAGGAAAAGCAAAATGCAGATGTTGTATACACAGACTTTGCAAAGGCGTTCGACAAATGTGACCATGGAGTGATAGCTCACAAAATGAGATCATTAGAAATAACGGGTAAAGTGGGGCGTTGGATTTTCGACTTTCTGTTAAACAGAATGCAGAGTGACGGTCAATCAAATAAGATCAAGTCCAAGTGCAGTGAAAAGCTCTGTACCTCAGGGCACAGTCCTTGCACCGCTGCTATTTATCATTCTTATCTCTGATATAGACATAAATACTAGTTTCAGTTTCGTGTCATCCTTTGCAGATAATACAAAAATCAGCATGAAAATTACCACTGTAGAAAACACTGAAAAACTACAGGTAGATATAAATAAAGTATTGTATTCGATTGGGCAACTGAAAAAAACATGATGGTTAACGGTGATAAGTTCCAGGTACTGAGGCATGGTGGAAACTAGGAAGTTAAACGAAACACGGGGTACAGGACACAATCAGTCACAATCATAGTAGGAAAGCAACGTGTAAAAGATCTGGGAATTATGATGTCTGACGACCTAACGTTTAGTGAACATAACCGAGCAATTATAGCGGCGGCCAGGAACATGATAGGATGGATTTTGAGAACGTTCAAATCCAGGGATCCACAGCCATGGTAATACTATTTACATCACTGATGCTGTCCCGTCTTGAGTATTGCTCGGTACTCACTTCCCCTTCCAGAACGGAAGAGATATCTGAATTAGAGTGAACACAGAGAACATATACTACACACATATACTAGGGGGACAGTCTCAATGCTCTCAAAATGTTGTACTCTCTGGAAAGAGAAAGGCATCAATTAATATAATTTGAAAGATACTGGAGGGCCAAGTCCCAAATTGGCGCAATAGAATAACAATATACTGGAGCGAAAGATACGGAAGGAAATGCTGAATAGAACCAGTGAGGAGTCGAGGTGCCATAGGCACAATCAGTGAACACTGTCTGAACATCAGAGGTCCACAGCTGTTAAACACCCTCCCAGCAAGCATTAGTAATATTGTCAGAACGAAGGTGGAGGTATTGAGGAGACACTTGGACAGGTTCTTGCAAGAAGTGCCGGACCAACCAGGCTGTAGTGGATATGTGGGCCTGCGGGCCGCTCCAAGCAATTTAGCTCTGAAGTCGAGCCTGGCTTCAGGCCGGGCTCGGGGAGTAGAAGAACTCCTTAAATACTCCAGGTATGCTCCCCCAGCCTTTGTGTAATCTCTTCTTCGTCCTCAATGTGTTAATTGGAATAACCAACTGCACATCTTCTACTTGTGAGGGTTGAGGTTGTGACCCGTGCACAATACTGTAGTGAGATACTGTACTCTGAGAGCTCCCAGTTGCTTCCTCAGCCTCAATACAGGGTCTCTCAAGTGTTGCTTTTGTCCTTATATGGTTATAAGACAGCTTTGGTTGGTCCTTAACTGTTGCTGCCATGGCATTTTCAAATTGCCTCTGGGCTTCTCTCCTAATTCGGGTGTATTTTTTTTTAATTAATTTATTTTATATATATATATATATATATATATTTTATATATTTATATATTTATATAGTTCTTACATTGTTGTGGAGCCACTAGCACGCATAGCGTTTCGGACAAGTCCTTAATCCTAATATTCCCCGAAATACGATCCGCCAAATCGTTTAACAATCATGTACCCATTTTACTGTTGCATCTCTATTGTTCTCTGTTCTCTTTACATTTTCTAGGCTTTTTATTTTGTAGTAAGGCAGGTTTGGTGATGTGTGATAGGGGTGTGTAGAGACAGGGGGAAGGTTGGTATGGAAGAAATGCTCCCAAGACTGAAGCCAGGCGGGGAGAGCGCGGGAGGGTTGGTAGGTGTGGTGGCCGGCCTGTCTGGGCCTCCCAGGAGGCTATAGTCCTAGTGTGTCCGTATCCTGCCTTCTGGCCTCGGCTTCCCCTCCAAACCATTAACTTTAACGCCCTTTCCCTCTTGCTGGTCTAGCTGTAACGCCGCATAAATGATTCCCATTGACACCAAATGAAGACTAATTGCCGTAGACATTAATTTCGAGTTTGGTTCCATTCTTGGCGGTAGGAGGTAGTGAAGGATGTGTGGGGCGGACGGTGATGGCGGGAACATGTCGGCCGCGCCGCGACGGTTGTGGGTAACAATTAAACTGTCCACGTATGATTTTTTGTTGGCGTCCGTTTATACCTGGAGGGCTTGGGGCGGACCGGGGGGTGTCTGCCTCTGGCCGCCTCCACGGCCCCGCCGCTGGCCACGCCGCCTCCACCGGAATTAATTAATACGAGCTTCTTACAATTCAAATGACAGAGAAAACTCGGAGGCTGCTGCTGGGTGTGTCAGGCCTACCCTGGGGGCGGGTAGGCTCAGGCCCCCTGGGGCGGGTAGGCTCAGGCCCCCTGGGGCGGGTAGGCTCAGGCCCCCTGGGGCGGGTAGGCTCACCAGGCCTGCCTCACCCCATGAGGCGGGGTATAAGACAAGGGTTCGTAAGTGCTTGCGTAACAGCTTGGTGAATCTGGCCCAAGACAAGGGTTCGTAAGTGCTTGCGTAACAGCTTGGTGAATCTGGCCCAAGACAAGGGTTCGTAAGTGCTTGCGTAACAGCTTGGTGAATCTGGCCCAAGACAAGGGTTCGTAAGTGCTTGCGTAACAGCTTGGCGAATCTGGCCCAAGACAAGGGTTCGTAAGTGCTTGCGTAACAGCTTGGTGAATCTGGCCCCAGGAGTCAGCTTGTTGAAGGGGTTGCATCCTGGGGGAGGGTCAGTAATTTAACCCAGTGGGGGGGGGAACTTGATATAAGCCTAACATGTACGGTATAACCTGGCTGCCTGTCCCCCCTAAACAATGAATTAATTATGAATTAAATTATGACAAGTCGAGTAATATTCTGCGGAGGAGTTAACCATGATTTCGTTGGCTTGACTTTTCCTCTTGGCCGGGTGGGGCCGGCACTGGGCCGGGTGGGGCCGGCACCGGGCCGGGTGGGGCCAGCACCGGGCCGGCACTGGGCCGGGTGGGGCCGGCACTGGGCCGGCACTGGGCCGGGTGGGGCCGGCACTGGGCCGGGTGGGGCCGGCACTGGGCCGGGTGGGGCCGGCACTGGGCCGGGTGGGGCTGGCACTGAGCCGGGTGGGACCGGCACTGGGCCGGGTGGGGCCGGCACTGGGCCGGGTGGGGCCAGCACCGGGCCAGGGTGGGGCCAGCACTGGGCCGGGCGGGGCCGGCACTGGGCCGGGTGGGGCCAGCACTGGGCCGGGTGGGGCCAGCACCGGGCCGGGTGGGGCCAGCACTGGGCCGGGTGGGGCC